GGCGGACCTTATTGCATGTATACGAGGTTCTCGTGTGAGAATACCAGACCTACAGGGCTTGTTCACGCATTGGCCACAGCATGTCCATCCAGAGGTTGAGAAGCTCGACGAACATGTGCAAAGAACACTTGAATCGTAAGACTACTAGCTATATCTTAGAACATGTTGTACTTATGCTAACACGGAGAAATAGGATCTTTCCCGAACCCCAAGAAGAGCGCCGGTTGAGGAAAATGAAAGCAACCGAGGTTGCCTTGTTCGCGGCTTCCTGGTGGGCATACGCACCATTTGAAATGCTCTGTGTTGCTACGACATTATCAATTTGGGTAAGAGTTTTGTAATAGTTTCAAGAGAAGTTGCTAATATTAAATGCTAGCTCTTTGTTTGGGATGATGGTATTACTGGTTCACAGGCTAGTGGTTATATAAATACTAACTATAGAGCAGAACTAGACTCTACCGAGTTCTCGTCTTTGATAGACGACTTTGAATCAGCCTCGGAGTTCAGGAAGGAAACCACCAAGTTTATTCGGGCGAGCTTGTCTAGAAATCAGTCTTGCGATAGCTCGACTCTGACTGATAACCGCATCATCACCTGCTTCAAACCAGTTGGGGATGCTATAAGCGCAGCCTATAACGAGCGTGAGTTATTGCAACATATTAATGCGTCATATTTACTGAATAGTAGCTGTTAGGCCAGATTAACACCTTCGTCAAAGAGTTGATGTTCTTCGTTGATATGTGTCAGGAAGAACACAAATTTCTAATGACGGCTGATATACCGACACCTGAGCAGTACATACAACGACGTCTGGGATCCGGCGCTGTCAGAGTCGTAAGTAAAACTTATAACTGTATCATTCTAACTATCCCAGGAGTACAAAGATACATCCCGTGCCTCAAAACACATATAATAGACCACGTTCGAAAAAATGATAACTGACAAATCTTTGCAGTGCTTAGCGATTAATGAGTATGATTAGACCCTCAAGTAAAAATATGGGACTGATATCAGTACAGATATACCACGGGAATTACCTTGCCCGAGGAGATCATAAACAGCGGCCCAATCCAGACCATTTGGCATGAAACCAACATAATTATATGCTGGTAATAGTGCACCAGGCCCGAAAGGTTTATGGTTAAGCTAATATTCTATAGTATCAACGACATACTGTCTGTAAAAAAAGAAATCGTAAGCTATAAGTTCCATATCGAGAAAATGCATCTAACGTAAATATGGCAGGCCCAATCACAAGCAGACACCCTCATTCCCCTTCTGTTCCTGAAACTCAGGTCAGTCCAGGCAGCAATAGACGAAGCAACACTCATGGTCTCGAGATCTATCGATCGGCTGGAGGCTGCTGAGAACGAGATACTAAGCCAATACTCTACCTCGCCTAAGACCCAAGACATGATTCAAACTCACATTGACGCGTGCAAACTTGCCTGCACGGCAAACTTGAACTGGAGGCAAGTCTAATAACGAAGGGAACATATTTTAGTCTCAATTCTAACGTGGTAGATAGTTTGGTTTCCGGACGGTATCGACTTCATTGTACTTCTACAGCTAACGGACTAGACGTGATCTTGTAGCAATTGAGAATATACCAATGCCGTTTCCAAGGCATACCCCCCAAAACAAGTTCTTTTACTATGTATTGTTGATGAGATATTACCAAGTAGTTCAAGTATAAATAATACTCGATGTTGAGAAATATTAGACACCTGATACAAGCATGTTTAGAAGACAGGCTTCGAACTATGCACCCATAACAATACCGAGCACTAAGATTGCTACGACTTTTTTCAATGCCAACTAGTGTGAATGTAGCACTTGGGGCATTACGTTCTCCTATTGACTCCCTAAGATACAAATAGCACGCATATATGTTTGTAAAGACCTAGGAAGAGTATTTTGTTTAGGTATGGGTAAAATTGTACTATTTAAAAATCGAATATAGAAACTGGTGCCCGATGACTAACATAGCACGACGCCCTTCAGACATCTCCCAGGTTCATACGTCAATTACCTACATGAAGTCCATATTATCTGCATTGATTATATAATTGCTCGGCACATTCATATCACAGTTCTCTTACTTCTGGCAACCCTAGCATTGACTTATTATCATTGCACGAGGAGCAAAGTTCTATCTATGCTAGTAGTCTCTATCAACTTAGTTTATATACCCTAGGTTCCAGTCCGTATAAGGTTCCGTGACAATTCGAGCTTTTTATTTTGTTTCTTTCCTTTAGTCTAAGTGTTAAAGAAATTGTATTACTTTGTGCGCCTGGCAAATCAGAGTTGTGAATTCAACCTCCCGGGGTTGTCCAGAAGAGGCGAAGATAGTCGAAGGTGACTTGGGGAGGTTTAGGCAAAGCTGAGTATACGCCGGTGTGTAGCATCAGCCCTACTATTCCCGTCTTATTCCAAGGGAATATTGCAACTCTAAGTCACGGCCCCCATTTTAGGAAATATGGGATGTCTCGGCTTTCACATCTCCGCTTTCGTACTTCTCAAAAGCCGTTATTTTGTTATTTTTCCAGAGGCTATTCAGAATACTTGTCGAAAGACCCCGGCACCCCAGTCCTTACCTAGTGGCCGCGGGGTCCCCGCAAGACCACCCCTGGCCGTTCTGCAGGGGTTCGATTTCAGAGAGTGAGGATCATGATGAGTTTCCCATTCGAGATTATAGAACACACGATCCCGACACAACATATCAGGGAATGGCCCAGAGCAACAGCTGTGTCGCAGGACGATGTCCTACAGGTCCGCATCAAACAATACAGACCTGTCGATAATCCCAACCCGCAGCCGGGCGACGTAACGGTGATTAGAGCACACGCTAATGGGTTTCCGAAGGAGGTGTACGAACCGCTATGGGCGGATTTCCATACCGAATCTAAGAAAAACGGGTTTCGTATTCGCGGCATCTGGATCGCCGACGTGGCTTATCAAGGACAGAGCGGCTTGTTAAACAAAGACAGGCTCGGCAACGATCCTAGCTGGTACGACCATGCCCGCGACCTATTGTACATGACAAACGTGTTCCGCGCCGAGATGCCCCGGCCCATCATCGGCATCGGTCACTCGTTCGGCGGCAGTATCCTAACTTGCCTTTCATTGATTCACGCCCGCCTCTTTTCCACTCTTATCCTTCTGGACCCGGTTATACACAGGTCTCTGCTCACTCGCCGGCGCGGTCGACATGACCCGTCTATCTGCCTTCCGCCGAGATACGTGGCCCACGCGGGACGCGGCGGCAGCAGCTTTCCGGCGCTCACCTTATTATTCGGCATGGGACCCGCGGGTCCTCAATGCCTGGATCGGTCATGGACTCTGCAAAGTACTAGGGGACGCCGGTGGCGATAAAGTCACGCTGCTGACGCCGCGCGACCAGGAGGTTTTCAGCTATTTCAGGCCGCTGTACCCGTACATGGGGACTGACGGCACGGTTGACAGAGAAGGCGCGCCGGACTTGGATCCGGCCACGAATGACCCACCAGGCCCGTATTACCCTTTCCCCTTTTACCACGGCGAGGGGTCTACGGTTTTTGCACAGCTACCGCATGTATGGCCCTCGGTGCTCCGGGTTTACGGTGGTTCTGCTGGCATCTGGTGGGAGACCTCGAAGGTGTGTGGGAGCGGCAGCGGAGTAGTGGTGGGATGAAGGCCGGCAGAGTTGAGAAGCAAGTATGCACCCAGAAAAGAGAATCTTGCCTAAATGTTGGAAATGGCTTGCGGATAAGCACGGCCTTAAATTTACAAGCACTCTGCCGACAATGGCAACAAAAAGTCTCAATCTCCCGGAGGCGGGTTTATGATGTCACACCTTCTAGACTAGAACGAATAAATTATTGTCCATAAGTGTATGTATCAGTCGGCGATAGGTTAGACTCTTCGCGTAACGACGAATATTTATCACTCCCCTATACTTAGATCATGACAGGTGATCTGGCGTACGAATTGAATTTCCCGCGACAATAGAGGATTCACAAAGTGTCAAGTCATCGAGCCCCATCTTGTTTCTTTTCTCGTACTCTTGTACCAACTGCTCTCCGTTTCACATTAGAATGTCCTTTGGATACCAAGTGTTATGAACGGCAGAATATCCTTTCCAAAATATCCGACAGCTTGAAGACAGCGTTACTAAACCGATAGACAAATTAAAGCGTCTCAAATACGAATTGAACAAGTCACGATCACAGCAATCAAGTCGGCAACGACCACCTTCACCTCTGCAATCTGCTAATACCTGCTGCTATAACCGTAAACAACGGAGTAGCAGACCTTTAATCAGTTCATCTTCGCTCACTGAAGACCCTGTCTAGCGGTTTCCCCAGCTTTGACTAAGAAAGCAGTGCAGTAATGTTAGCTGGCCACCTCCCGCGAATTATGATGAGTGGATGAGTGGTTATAGGCTCAACTACTATTTCGCCGGCTATTCTTGGCTTTCTTTCTACCTAGCTTTGGGTGTGGCAATGGCATAAATCATGCCTTAAAAGGACATAACGCGATAGCTGAGCGATGCATGGTCCCCAATACTTCAACAAATTACTAACCTGCAAATGGCCTAAAATCCGGTTTAGAGTTGGGAACCTCTTGCGTAACAACGTCGTTTGTAACCCCTGTCAATAGCTCACTGTCCACTACGTAAGATGATGATAACATATAGTTTAATACCCCTCTTATCGAGACTAGCATCAACCTTGTTTCCGAGGGTTCGGCTAGTAGTTAGGGCGCGGTGCAACATTGTTGTAATAATGTATATGACCTATAAAAGAAGGTACTTATATGTCGTATTAACCATAAGTAGTAGTAGTTAGAAGTTAACCTTCCGTACTAAGCATCAGCCACCTAAAGATACCTCCAAGTCACGTGCTATCCTTGTACCAGGATTAACGGTTGTTACGATATGCAACAAACATTTCTCCCATTTCCATAGCCTATGTCTTAGGTGCAAATAACTCGGGACACACATCAATCGACAACAACCTGGGAGTTTGGCCGAGTGGTTAAGGTGCTGTGTTTGGGTCATTGTAAATCCGGCTTCTTGCTGGTTTATACCATAAATCCCGCAGTGGGAAACCGCGCAGGTTCGAATCCTGCAGCCCTCAAAATATTTTTTTTGCTCTCTTTTCGGGCTCTCGTTGGTCCTCGTCGAGACGTGCTTGAAAGGACTGCTCAAGAGTCGAGCAAAAAAACAAATCGCCGTGTCAATAATGTCACGTCGCAAACCCGAATGCCAATCCATCTTGTGACGTGGGACAGTGGTTGTGAATCGGGGTCGCGGGTGGTTTGTTAACGATTTCAATCATGGCTAGTTCCCACTAGGCAAATTACTTAGTTTGCCAAGAACTTGATTAGATCGGGTCGTCGCACGAATATTTCCATCTCTGTCTCAATTATCTTTGCCTATGAGTGTCTCCGTGCATCCTGATGATGTATAGGGCCGCTGTCTTGTTAACAAGATATGCCTCATGGAAAAGGAATTTCGAATAAGGAGCGAGGTAAAGGACACCTTTATTATTCCCTAGAGTCTCGCGAAAAGCAACGTATTGTGCTAATCGCTCTCGTCATCACACTTCTCACACCGCCAGAAGCCATTGCGGGCTCTGGTGTCCCGTTGGGTCTGCCCATGTATCGAAAATTCATCCTCAGGAAAGCATCGTGCTATTTCCGCTAAAGGCCGTACCATGACTCGCGGCTCGCAGCTTTCCCAGCACTTCAAACGGCACTTCGCGACCCGGTGAAGAGCCATACGGTGAAAATTAACTGGATGATTTTATTATCTTTCTGGTATTGTCGGCACGACGTCTTCGCGCAGTGCCGTCTGTTGATGTTATAAGATGATGTCGGGATACATAGCCCGGAAATCCGAGGCGGTATGCATTGGCTGTGATGCGACTCTAAGACGATGTTAAGGGACATAACGGAGATAAAGCTCGCGAACTTGATGGCTTGGTTTGAGGCGTAGTTTAGGCGTTAACCGTTAGATGGGTACGATGACTTTATTAATGCTACCGCAGATCACGGCGATTAGATTTGAAGAGCCCAGTTATAGTAACCCACATGGCGTAGTGTGCCCCTCTCGACAAGGGTTCACCCTTATCGACCCAGGTAATTGACGGCAGATTACACGGTCACCAGCCACAGTCGACGGGACATAATTGTACCTTAATATAGTGTCTCAAGAATGTTATATCACCCTGCAGATCTGGGGCACTATTTTGTCTCGTGGGTGGAGATTGAAAAAGTTGCCAACTCCGGTACTCCGGGTATGGTGCGCCACAATACGGACTCAACCTCCCTTACTCGTAGTATTACTACTCATGAGCGGTATCGTGGGTCGTCAAAGTTTGTCTAAACTGCCCTCGTGTTGTGTTTTATGTGTAACGCGAATCAATTGATATGGTGCTAATTACCAATTTCAAGGTACGACGTTGCTCTCGAAGCCTCGAAGACGTATGGAAGTACACTCTTGCAACAAGAAAGGTCACACATTCTAATATACGGCGATGAAAATCATACGACTGTTTGTGAATAGGTGATCATTCAACTGGGATCATAGATTGCGAAGGAGATCCGATTATAGCTCGAAAATTAGTTGCTGTGCTTCGGCTATAACAAACAACATTGTAGTTTCTCTTGGTAAGCTCAACTTCGTCGGACTTAAAGAGTTATGCCCTGTGTATACCAGATAGTAGTTACGAGATAGGCATAAACTTGTGGTGGAATCGGGCAGCGGGCCTGGGTTCATATTCCCGGACTAGCTAGAATTTGCTTAACGTTATGCCATGGAACCAGGGGATATAAAGACTATCTCCGCCATCGACGCCGGGTATATAACCAGCAGCATAACCACTCTTCACTGTGCTTGTTTTCAATCACAATTCAATCCTTTGAGTACACCCTAGATCACATACCTTTGCATATACGACCTTCATCGCCATGGCTGGTATTAAGTTCGAAGGCTGGTTAGGCCACAACCCTGAGTCGGCGAAAGGCAAGATGGAGTGGGGCCCATTCGAACCCAAGAAATGGACCGAGGACGATGTTGATATCGAGATTTCACACTGCGGAATCTGCGGTTCTGATCTTCATATGCTGAGTTCTGGCTGGTTCCCGACGAATTATCGTGAGCAGTCCCCCAATGGCCCTAATCATTATGAGTAACATACTAACCGCAAAATAGCTTGTTGTGTTGGACAGTACGCATCTCTGAGCCTTTTATTCCCTCTCTTAGCCAAGTTTTCGCTTCTGTTTACTTCTCTATGCATCCGAAACCATCAAGAATGGTTCAAATCTCCTCCGTGTGTGGTATTATCTAATGCTTGAGTTCTTGTAGTGAAATTGTTGGCAAGGCCGTGCGTGTTGGCAACAACGTGAAGCACGTCAAGGTGGGCGACCGAGTTGGCGTAGGTGCACAGTCTCGAACCTGCCAGCAGCCAGATTGCCCAGAATGCAGCTCTGGAAATGACACCTACTGCACGCGCGTTATGGTCAATACCTACGGCTCTGTCTACCCTAATAATGAGGGCAAGTCGTACGGCGGATACGCGGACTACAATCGATCGAATCAACAATTTGTAGTTCAAATCCCGGATGGACTGAGCTCGGCGGATGCAGCGCCGATGTTGTGCGGTGGTGTCACAGTATATTCGCCATTAAGGCGAAATGACTGCGGTCCCGGCAAGAGCGTGGGAATTATCGGTGTTGGCGGACTTGGACACTTCGCCGTTCTCTTTGCTAAGGCTATGGGTGCCAGAGTGGTAGGCATCTCGAGAAAGAATTCTAAGAGAGATGACGTCCTGAAGCTCGGCGCGGATGAGTACATTGCCACAGATGAGGATCAGGACTGGCACAAAACTCATAGCCGAAGTTGTAAGTGACTCCTAGGTCTTTACAGTTCTTTTGGTCGGAATTGGGATACGAAGAGCGTTTTCAACGGCCCCCTCCGGCACGGATAGTATTGCTGACTCTTGGTCTCGCAGTGGATCTCATAATTTGCACTGCCAACAGCGTGAATATGCCCATAGACAAATACATTGGTCTCCTCAAAAGAGGATGCGAATTTGTTCAAGTCGGGTACGTTGCGCGATGGCGTCGATAACCCACACCCCCAATCAGGATGCTGAACAATAACTAATTCGGAATTAGGGCGGCCGATAACGGTGGTTTCCCCCAGTTCAATATCTTCTCGCTCCTAGGCAGTGGCGTCAAGATTAGTGGTAGCTCTACCGGTGCTCCTTGGGAGATCAAAGAAATGTTGCAGCTAGCGGCGGATAAGAAAATTAAGCCTTGGATCGAGGAACGACCCATGAGAGAGGCTAACCAGGCCATCGTTGACATGGAGGACGGAAAAGCACGATACAGATACGTGCTGGTGAACGAAAACTTTGGGAAACACGGCACTCTTAACAAGTTGTAGATGGCAATTTAATTCTCTCCTAACCGAGTGAGGCAGGGGAGATCTATTTTCAAAGGGATATTGGCAAGTTAGATTGAAAGCTAGACAATAGAGTAGAAATATAACAGAATGTACATCATCGAGGGTGAAAGTGAGAGTAGTCTATCAAACTGTCTTGGTAAATGTAAGCGAAGCTAAGAGGTATTGTCAGCTGGTAGACAGCCGACCGGGGATAGCTTCGGAGATAAGCTATAGTGAACGTTTAGACTCTCACCGCTTTCTTAGGTATCCACTGTGTGGGGTGCTTGCAAGAATTGTGCCGGCAAAAAACCTCCCCGCCTTAAATATTTTGGTAAGTATCAATCCTTCGCATCGCAGTAGGCGCAATTGATGCGACACGACTCTTTTTCAACATAGCATAAAATCTGATCCGACCTATCCACATACCAAGAGTCCGCAATGCTTCGAGAAATGTGTGTATATACCGCATCTATATTTTAGTCCTGTTCGTTTCCTAATAGTATTTCCATAGAAAACCCAAGAATGCTCGAAGCAAGAGAGCTCTCGAGAAGAAGGCTCCCAAGATAATCGAAAACCCCAAATCAACTCTATTTCTGTATGCTGATACCGGTCAATTATCCCTGTCTATGCCCTGAGTCTAATCGCATTTCTAGCCGCGGCACGACATGTAGCCAAATCGTACAGGATGCCCTTGCGGATCTCCATTCTCTGAGACAACCGTAAGTAATACCGAGCAGAGCTGCTGCAGCTCATCGATCCCCGTCTCGACTAACAGTGAATTGGTAGATTGGCCAAGAAATTCAGCAAGAAGAACGATATACACCCATTCGAGGACCCTTCATCGCTCATCTTCTTCTCTGAGAAGAACGACACGAGCTTGCTGGTATTCGGATCTAGTTCCAAGAAGCGCCCAAACACCCTCACGTTCGCACGAACATTTGCCACGAACCAAATCCTCGACATGATAGAACTACACATAATGCCCGAAACCTTCAGGACGCTGTCGCAATTCAAGTCTCGCAAATTTGCCGTTGGTTTAAGGCCGATGATGTTGTTCTCCGGAACGGCATGGGACAGCCCAGTCGCCAACGAATACACGATATTAAAGAGTTTCCTGATCGATATGTTCAAGGGCGATACGAGTAGCGACAAAATAGATGTGGAGGGATTGCAGTACTTAGTGTCTGTCGCAGCTGATGAGCCGGCTGGTGATGATGTCAAGCCCACCGTTCACCTACGACTGTACCTTCTCGATACAAAGAGAAGCGGACAGAGGCTACCACGCATTGAACTAGAGGAGATGGGACCGGTCAGTAACTAATTCTGGCATTGTACTATTACAGGTTCTGTAATCAGAGCGTTTACTAACTTTAGTGCTATAGAGGATGGACTTCCGTATAGGTCGTAGCCAGCAGCCGGATGAGGCGGTCTTGAGGGAGGCCATGAAGAAGCCTAAGGCGGGCGAAGAGAAGACCAAGAAGAACATCTCGACAGACGTGATTGGTGATAAGATTGGCAGAATTCATCTGGGCAAACAGAATCTGAGTGACCTGCAGACAAGGAAGATGAAGGGCTTGAAGCGGAACCGCGATCTCGAAGGCGGCAATGGGACGGTGGATGATGATGACACTCAAAAGAGACGAAAGCAATAGTTTTAATGGCGCGGCCCGCGATATTATGGTTTGC